TGTTTTTATTCTCTCAAAGTTTTAAACAAAGAAAAGCTGTTCACTTCTGCCTGGAAGCACCGGGTCAGTAAAATGTGCAGTGCAGAGCAAACAGAGCAAAGTCCCAGCATCACAAAAAAGTGAGGACTCAGAAATACAGCTCTTTTCTGTTCTGTTCACTAGCTCGTTTTCTGCAACAGGTGGGCCTCTGCAATATGAAAACGAGGAAAGGGCCAATATTGATAGGATGCAGGGAGCAGAAATTCTGATTTCTCTTTCATTTTTGCAAAAGAGCTGAGCTCATCATAATATGGAATACAGGCTGGAAAACATGCCATGGCATTCAAATTTGCCACCATCGTCTTTATTGCAGGGGAGTCTAGCAGCCATGACATGGCTATCTCAGCTACTTACTCTGTGTGCACTGTGTGTGTGACCTCAGGGGACAGACTGACTGACCCCACTGGAATGGTCTGACTACTATCTATGCTCTGGTGTGTCAACCAATGGTAACCAGCTGGATATATTATTGTCCCTTTTGGCCTAAGCTGTTAGCCAACAGTGAAGGCCTTTTTGGGTTGTTCCTGTAACAAGCAGAAATTGGTGATACTAGTCTGGCATTTCTTTGGTGCGATCCTGTATATTTACTATGGGTATGTCTACACTATTTTGAAATAACGTGTCTACACAAAAAATGCATTTCGAAATAGCATTTTGCTATTTTGAAATAGTGCGTCCACACTGAGTGGACTTTGAATAATATTTAAGGCTGGCTGGAACCAGTTCCGGCAGGGCACCAGGTCAGGACTTACTGTGTGGGGCTGCTACCTGAGGCTATCTGAGGTCTGTGCTTAAAGGGACCCCCCAGGACAGCCAGTTCTCAAGTTTCCCTGCTTGCTTGCCTACCTCGATGAGGGACAGCAAAGCATTTTGTCTCTGCGTGCTCTGGTTGCTCTCACTCGGGACACCACAGCACTCTACAACATGGAGCCAGAGCTGCCCCTGGGCAGTCTGGTGTTTTTTGTGGATGCGTTGCTGCAAGCCTGGCTGCACTTTCTGCAGTCTGCCATCCAGGAGGTCCATCAGAGGGCTGTCAGTATCCAAGAGGCCCTGCGGGAGAGCTTCCACCTTGAGGAGCACTAAGAGCCTCCCTGGTCTGCCCCACTGGGGGCTTGTGCCTCATTCCTCCCTCATGTCCTTCCACTTACCCCTCCCTAGCCCCCCTTCCTGATGTCAAATAAAATACACGTATTTTCATTTAACAAAACTGGGGGGAGGGAATGAAACTGGTGAGACTGGGGAAAGGAGGCGGGAGAGAGGAGAAGAGAGGATAGGAGAGGGAAGGGGGGAGGAAGGAGCTGGAAGGGGGAAGCAAGGGGAAGAAGGGGTAGGGGAAGCTCAGGGCTCAGGGGTGGGTGTGTCGCCGGACCAACTTGATTTTCATGCGAACCTGCTCCTGGGTTCGCATGTGGCCTTTGGTGGCCAGACTGGCAGCTATCCTGCCATAGATGGCCACATTCCTCTGTCTAGTGCAGAGATTATGGACGTTGGGGGCATCCCCCCCAAACCTGAATAAGGTCCATGATATCCACACTGGACCCGGGAGGCGCCCACCTTCTCCAGGCCCTGGCAGGCTCCTGGGAGCTGACAGACTGCTCCGGGGGAGTGCTGGCTGCTAGTGGCTTGCTGGCTCATGTTTTGGAGCCACTGGGTCATGGGCAGTGACTGCTGGCTCTGGGCTGGCAGGCTTGGAGCTGGCACAGGCACTGTGGCCAGAGTCTACCCCTTTAAGGGCTCCAGGGAGTGGGGGAGGGAATGGAGTGATC